GTTTTAGCGGAGTACCTGTGACAGACACAGGTAAAGTCGGCGGTAAGCTGCTAGGCATCGTCACTTCGAGAGACATCGACTTCCTCGAACGTTTGCCCAATTATCAACATAAGTCGCTTAGCTCTATAATGACAACTTTGGAAGATCTAATCACCGCACCAGCTGGCGTAACGTTGCAAGAGGCAAACGTTATATTGGAAAAGTCGAAAAAGGGAAAGCTTCCCATTGTCAACGAACGGGGCGAACTTGTGTCTCTGATGGCGAGGACCGACTTGAAGAAGAATCGTAGCTATCCAAACGCTAGCAAGGACGAGAATAAGCAGCTGTTGGTAGGAGCTGCGATAGGAACGCGAGATGCGGACAAACACCGATTGGAATTGCTCGTCGCAGCTGGCGTGGACGTAGTGGTATTGGATTCGTCACAGGGCAATTCATTGTATCAGGTCGACATGATCAAGTACATCAAGAAGCAATGTCCGAATTTACAAGTGATCGCTGGCAACGTCGTGACTACGAAGCAAGCCAAGAATCTTATAGAAGCGGGAGCTGATGCGTTACGCGTTGGAATGGGTTCTGGATCTATTTGCATAACGCAAGAAGTAATGGCTGTAGGACGGCCTCAAGCGACAGCCGTCTATAAGGTTTCCGAATACGCTAGAAAATTTGGAATACCCGTCATAGCGGACGGTGGTATTCAATCTATCGGTCATATTATTAAAGGTCTCAGCTTAGGTGCTAGTACAGTTATGATGGGTTCTCTCTTGGCTGGAACATCTGAAGCTCCGGGTGAGTATTTTTTCAGCGACGGAGTCCGTCTAAAAAAATACAGAGGGATGGGCTCGTTGGAAGCCATGAATAGAAAGGACGCTAAAGGTTCGGCGATGGATAGGTATTTTCATAATGAAATGGACAAACTAAAAGTAGCTCAAGGTGTTAGCGGATCAATAGTGGATAAAGGCTCGGTCCTTAAATTTCTGCCTTATTTGACTTGTGGTATCAAGCATGGTTGTCAGGATATTGGAGCAAAGTCGCTTACCACCTTGCGATCTATGATGTATAGCGGGGAATTGAAATTTGAAAGAAGAACGCATTCGGCTCAACAGGAGGGCAATGTACATAGCTTATTCTCCTATGAGAAAAGACTGTATTAGTTGTGAAAAATAATAACTCGTAAAGCACGCATCGTTATGCGTGCAGGAAAAGTACCTGCATTTAATTGAATATCATTATTTTACAAGACTAGTTATTTTGCAAGACCTGCGAGAAATCTCTTATCTGTCACGAATGTGCGTACATTGTTAACCAGGTTATGACTCGGACTCGACCAAATACAATTCGTTTATCTTAGAACTGTACTTTACGAGTAGGAAAACTACATCAGATCATCATTTATTACATCAGTCTCGTACATGTACTTGTTATTTAATGAATATCTATCATATGGTACTTTATAAATTTTATCTATATTTTATATTCATAACGAGCAATCAAGAGAATGACTTTTTGTATCGTACGATGCATAATATTAATACACAACTGACAACGTGCGATTTTGTTACTTTATCAAGTAATTGGTACAATAATGAGAAATTATTTAATAGCAAAATCATGTTAATGTTAATAAATACTACAATGTAGAGAGGATCACTGTTCTTGAACATACATTGTAATATTTGGTCGCTCGTCCATTTCTCTTAACATAGTTTCCAATTGATACTTTAGCCCCAAGCTAACTTTTATCTTTAATGTTGTAACTTTCCAAAATAAAAATTGGAAAATGTTTAGTACGACAATCCAATAGTATTAAACCTCGAAGAAAATCACTTTTCCAGTATCAACGGGAAAAGTGTTTGCAGCTGTGTATATGTTTTATACAGTATTCTCATAATAAACTGTATATCTCAAATAAAAGACAATTCATGTAAACACGATTATGTATAATGCACTCCATTTCCTGTGTCCTACAATTTCTCTTTCTAACAAGTTCACTTTAAGGCTGGTATATTAACAGTCGTATTTCTGTGTATACACAACTAATAAGAAATTAAGTCCATAAGCTTTCAATCGAAATTTTCGTGCTTAGATAATTTAATGTGTATTTATATACTATGTATCGAATTCTGCCAAACTGCGCACCAAATCGATTTTGAGATGGGGGCGAGTTCTTTAATTCGATTGATCAGTCGCATTGTGCGCAATTGTAATTTTTACATTTGTGCGTAATGCAATTGACGAATCGATGAATTAAAATACTCGCGCATGTTATATCGACAGAACTACCGTAGTACTATCACAATTAAATTATCGTCTGTTTTCTGTAGCTGAGTATATTTTTGGAATTTAAAGCAAGATAGATATATGTTTGATATTTGTTGAAAGCGAGAAAAAGAATTATAATATCGTCAAGTTTAATGCATGAATAGAAAACAGATTATTCGTTAAAGATTCCTATAAAAATGTCTTTTCATGCTGACGCCCATTTGCGCTCATTTTCACCTTCAAAATAAGTCACGTGATAAAAATTGGATATCAAGCGTTAATTTTGACCACGTGACGTATTTTGACGTTGAAATGAGCGTCGAGCATCAACATGAAAAGGAACCTTAACCAAAGTTTGGTGAAAGCGGACACAACTTTTGATTTGCATACAACACGTGCGACAACACGTCATATTTTTGTCATTTTTAATAATTTTTAAGTTCCAAAATAGAAAAGTAAGAAAGGTTTACACAATAGAAGTTAAATAACACGGCTTTTTGCCACGAACTATCATCGTTCCTGCAAGTTAAAATGTCAGAAACTGTTAACAAACACATGGAAAATACGACAAATTCGCAAGAGTCTAGCGAAGCCGAGAGTATTGAAAAATGCAAGAATTGTGCAAAAATATGTGACCCTTACAATAAACCATCGTTACGTTGTAGCGGTGGATGCGATAGAAGAATACATACGACATGTTTAGAGAGAGGCGGCGTACCAGTTTCTTTTGTAGGAGATGTTTTTTTCGAACTTAATTGTACCTCTTGCAATCCACTAGGCGAGGAAACAGTTGTGCGCGATAAAATGCCATGGCTCAATGTTATTATTTTGACGCTTTACAATTTACGTGAAAAATCGAATGGTATTAGTAGAAGAGGATACTTTCATTGGAAGTCCGATATTACTGCTTTTGTAGACAGAAATTGGGACTTTTTATTTAAGAAGACTGTGTAAGTATCTATTTTACTCTGTACTATTATAATTTACACTTGTGATCTACCACATGTGATCTAGAATTTATAATGTAAATTTTGTATTTAGAAAAAGGAAGAAGAATTGGATTGGTACCATATCTGGTACACTGTCCCATTATAGTGGTATCTTTTTCAAATCTGGTACCAATGAATTAGGAGAGTCTGGATGGTGGAAACTAGTGGGCAATGAACCTCCTGAAATCTTAATAGCCAAAAGTAATACAATTAAATATATATATATGTATATACAGGGTGTCTGTTAATTAAGGTCAGAGTCACATTGGGAGTGTAGAATGGGTCAAGGGGAACAAAAAAGTTTTATATCATTTTGCAATTTTCGCAATAGTTGCGAAACAACAAGATATTAATTACTAAAAATGGTCGAATATTGGTCTTTAATAATTTCTTTCTCAAATACTATCAAATACTTTACAAAAAAATTTTAAGAGACACAAATTGTTTATCTTCTTCTCATAAAGTTTTGAGAATTTTTTCAGAATTTTTTAATACCATATTTTCTCATGATAATAAAAATAAGAAAAATGCAGTGTTAAAAAGTTGATAAAAAATTCTGAAAAAATTCTTGAGAGTTCTATGAGAAGAAAATAAACAATTTTTATTTCTTATAGTTTTCTTGTAAAATTGATAGTATTTGAGAAACTAATTATAGAACCAATATTCGGCTATTTTTAGTAATTGATATCTTATTAACTATTGCGAAAATTACAAAATGATATAAAACTTTTTTGTTC